AAATCCCATTATTACTCAAAAATTAATTAATATCATTAAAAGGTGCGTTTTCCAGAAAATGTAAAGTCTTTGGAGTATAAAAAAACCTGATTGGTGTGTGTCAAAATAATTCAAATCAATTAAAAACATCAATAAAATACTTAACGAGGAATGAATAAGAAAGAAAAAAAATTTTGCTGAATTTTGAAGGAATTTCAAAGATACCAAAATATAGAAAAAGGTTATTGGTGTATGTCAAAATGATTTTATTCGATTAAAAACATCCCAATGGTATATATAAAGAACGAAAGAATTAAAAAAAATAATTTTTCACTACAAAAATAATCCATAAACCATATCGATTTGCATTTTATTGAATCGAAATGTTCGCTTCGTTCACTCTTATGTGATTTTGAAAATAGTTCACGATATGAAGAGGTCTGTTATCGCAACATAACGTCTGTATTGCGCTCGTCTACGCTTGAGTCGTCGCTTTCACTCCTTACCAATAGGTGGATACATGACCTGTAACCAATAGCACTTCCGCAATGCACTTTAACGTTCGTATTGTTATTCACCAAAAATTTTTTTTAACAATCCTAAGAATAATCTTGCATAAATCGTATTTGTGTGATATAAAAAATAATAAACAATACTTTTAAAGCTTTTAGCTTAGTGATTTTTTAATTAAATTTAATGCTCAAAGCTAAAACATAAATTCTACTCTTGCATTAATGTCCAAGGACCTTTCCAACTAGCAAATTCTATTTAAAACCATTCCCTCTGAAAACCCGGACTAATGCAAGTCGACGAAATTTATCGCTTTACAGATTATCAAGTTGCAACTAAAAGGGAATTTAAAAATAGTTTTAAAATTCAAAATAGTTTCGATTTAAGTTTGTGTTATTAGAGTGCGGGACATTATTATACATTATGTATTAAAAACTAAATATCTCTATATATATACTATACATATATTTATATACCCTGCTCAAAAAAATTAGGGGAACACTTTTCGAAATCTGTAACTTTTTAAATAATAGTTCTAGACAAATCAAATTTGGTTTACTTCAACGGCATATATTTAACTAAAGAAAATTACAAAAACAATGTTACAACTCTTAGTTACTTCTAATTTACACTTAAAAATGTAAATTAATAACGCAAAACAAAGTGGAAAATTGTCAAGTATGCTTTGAATTCGCGAATGAAAGCCTTCTAAAGATAACAAATGAATTTAGTTGTCAATTTTCGTTGATTAGAAGCGTCATCGTATCAAATCGATATGGTATATGGATTATTTTTGTGGTGAAAAATTAATTTTTTAATTCTTTCGTTCTTTATATATACCATTGGGATGTTTTTAATCGAACAAAATCATTTTGACACACACCAATAACCTTTTTCTATATATTGGTATATTTGAAACTCCGTCAAAGCTCATCAAAATCATTTTTCTTTCTTATTCATTCCTCGTTAAGTATTTTATCGATGTTTTTACTCGATTTGAATCATTTTGACACACACCAATTTGGTTTTCTCATACTTCAAAGACTTTAAATTTTCTGGAAAACGCCCCTTTCAATGATATTAATTAATTTTTGACTAATAATGGTATTTCAAGGAGTTAGTATCATTTTGACACGCACCAATAAGCTTTTTCTACGTTTTAGTATCTTTGAAAATCTTTCAATACGCAACCAAATAAATTTTTTATATGTTTAAATATCCTAGGGATGTTTTAATCTTGCCATAAAACTGTTTTTCTTAGTGAAGTGTAAGTTGCTCGTGATTTCGCCCTTATTCAGCATGGCCACTCTGTTTGACATGTTAGCAGGGATCTTCGAGTTTCCCGTTCTGTTATTTGGCATTTATGGAATCGGTTTCAGGAGACTGGCCTACATGTTAGAAGAGATGGACAAGGTCGAAATCAAAAAACTACTCAAAATCAAGACCGATTTCTTGATCTTTCTTATCTACGTACGCGTACTGCAACATCACGAGACTTCCTAAATGACCTAAGACGAGCACATGGAATAGAAATTTCTGATCAAACTGTTAGAAACAGATTAAAAGAATCTAATTTGAAATCTAGAAGACTTGTCCGCGCACCACGCCTTACGCAGCATCACAAAGCAGCACGAATGAATTTGTAGAATGATCTGTTATGATTTGGGCTGGAATCACTATAGACGACAGAACTGATTTTATTGTTGTTCATGGTAGACTAAATGGCATAAATTACATCGAAAACCTCTTGGAGGACCATGTGGTGCCTGCTTCATATGGAGTCGGTCAAAATTTCATCCTAATACAGGACAATGCAAAGCCACCTACCGCCGGTATCACCAAAAACTTTTTGCAAGAACGTGGAATTCAGGTCATGGAATGGCCGGCGTTAAGTCCTGACCTGAATCCTATTGATCACGTCCTATTCAATTGAAATAGCAAAATAGTAGTAGGTAACCATGGCAACCAACAGTTTCAGATATCAAAAATTAATCATTGTCTTACTAAGGTATCTGAAATAACTGGTTGTCATGGTTACCTGCTATTTTGTATCCCAAAAATCGAGTGTTCTCGGTTTTTTTGAATAAATGTCTGCTGGAGCAGATTTTTCTAGAAAAATTCGAATAACTCGAGAACGGCCGAATCAAATTGCAAAAAGTAATGTTATTTATAAACCATGAAAACAGACAAATCCAAATATGTAAAAATATACAGGTGTTCCATTTAAAAAAATAAAGTAGGTGGCGACTTCCGGTGTAACCGGAAGTGCTGGAATTTTGAAAATATTTTAGTCGAAGAGAACGCAATTGATAATACTTAAGTCTGAATTCTCAAATTTTTATTTTGGCCAGAACCCCAGAAACGTCTAATGACCGGTGAAACACCCTGTATAAATATATCTCTGTGTGGGTAGGACACAGAGATATTTATTTTTTAATACATAATGTATAATACAATGTATTTTTGTTTGCTGATCGAATAGTTGGATTACTCATTTGTTGATTTATTATTTTTCTTTTTAGGTCTGCATTTTGCTGTATTTTTAGGAAGATAAATACGTTTCAGATTTCAGATATTTCCCTAGTTAAAACGTAAAACACACCTAGAACAATTTGAATCAGCAAAGTTTGAGTTATTTTAGATCGTTATGTGTTTTTTAGTTGTTATTGTGTAATTTAAAACCTTTGACGCAAGAATTACTAACTGACACTTCCAAAAACTTTAATTTTCAAAGAGTATTCTTTATAGAGTTGTTCTAGTGAAAATAATAGCTGTTCCAGATTGCTTTAGGTATTATAAGTATACAGTGTGTCCGTAAAGTAACGGATATAGGCGATAATAATTATAAACGGTTTATGGAAAAATCCCTGAAACGGGTCTAAAGATTTAAATTTTTTGCAACTGCTTGGTGTAGATTTTAAATTTCTTCCGCCATTTTTAAGCGAGTTATGACGTCATCGGTATTTTTTTCAAATAGCAATCCCACTTTTTTATTACGAAATATGAAAGAAGATTTTTTTCTGAATCTAATACAGTCAATATTAATATTGCTTACATAAGAAAATTTTCGAGAAAAATTACTTTAAAGTTTAACTACTTCAGATTTGTTGGCATGATGAAAATAGAAGTAGCCATGAGTAACTATGGTAACCAATTATTTTAAACAATTTCCTAAGTGTCAAAAACTGATTTAGTCAAGGACAGTAGAATCTAACAGGACTGCTACATGCATTGTATTTTTGTAGCCCACTATGGGTTGGTTGCCCGCACACTACGTCACACTATTTGCCACGCCCTGTTAACTGTCATTGACTACTATGCGTTTGCTGTGTGTTTTTAGAGATTTAGAGGTTACATGATAGACATTACTACGTCTAAAAAAATAAAACTTCAAAAATAATATGAATATGTCTACGATATAACCTCAAAAAATACACAGCAAACGCATAGAGCTGGGCGTGGCAAATGGTATGACGTAGTTAGCGGGCACGTTGTCACAACAATGAATGTAGCAGTCCTGGATTTAGTAAAACTTCTTGAAGTGTGGTGGCGCGCTATCTTGTTGGAATAACTGCCGTTGGAATTGAGTTGTGTCAACATTATTTAAAAAATTAAAATTTTTAGACCCCTTTCAGGGATTTTTTCATAAACCGTTTATTATGATTTTATCGCCTATATCCGTTACTTTATGGACACACTGTATATTTGTAATATGGCATTGAAAATAGAGAAACTATGGTCACAGCAATCAACTAGACATTTTGGCAGCCAAACCTATTTTTAGTTACAACTTCGTAATGCTGTATCCCATAATTTTCATTTTCTAGAACAATAACTAGAACAACTAGAACAACCCAGAACAACAAAGCAAATCTGATATTTCCAAAAATGGGGAGCTAGTCGAAAAACCTGTTTTTCTCGCCGAGTTTTTATTTTTTCTATTTTCTGCTTTGGAATAATGTAAAACAACTCTAAAACAATCTAGAACAACAATGAAAAATTTAAAAATCAAAAAATGGGGGGCTAACTTCCCGCACTCGTGTTATTAAACTTTTAATCCGTTTTTATGTCTAAAAATAACAAAGGGAATTATCCCCCCTTATCGTTTAACCGATCCCCTTCGAAAACCATTTCTAGGACACTAAATAGACTTTACGACCTAAACTGTAGGGCACCACTCGGAACTAACGCGATAGCAACTCCGGGACATACGGCCGAATTAAGTTGTCCGGTAGCAGCCGGTACGTTCGCTTCGATGGGACCTCCAAAAACGGAGACCAAAACCGATTCGAACTAGTTAATGGTCCTATAGATTGTTACCTGGTCGACAAATTAGGTCTTCGTCTAGAAACGGGGTAGCGCGTAGAGGTAATTTCTCTAGAGTCGAGTTCGAACACGTTTCGCTTCGATCACAATTTAGAACGATTAGAACCGATTAAGTATCTCTAAATTAGAGTTTATTCCAACTAAATTTATTGTGATGGTTATTTAAATCCTTCAGAAATATTTACCTGGTAATTCGCAGATGAAAGACGAAACAGATGGACCCCCACAAGTTAATGGGTGCCACCTATAATCAGTTGCGGGGTCCATCGAAACGCAGAGTGCTTCGGTAACTTTAGGAATGGGTTCTTGCCAATGGTCGTTGTTGGTTAAAAGATGGAAATCGCTGAAATATTAAAAATGAGTTATTTAGAAGGACCATCAAGTAAATTGCTTAAGGAATTAATTAAAAACAAAAAAATAACTTAATTTCTAGACGAATTGGGTCATTTTTTTTAGAGTATCGCTTTCCCGGTAGTTTCCATGAATAAATTTCCGGCCAAAATGCATTTTTCACGAGCCTTTTCCAAGCTGTCCCAGTTCTATTTAAGTTTTTATCGTCTACTCGACGAGGTCCGAAAAAGAATTAGTTCTGAAATTAACCCACAAATTGAATTTTATCCCCTAAATTATAATTAATTCAAAAAGGGCTAATTTAATATTTAAGAGTCATCACAAATTGATTGTTTTTGGGATTCACTCATTATTATTCGGTAATTCGGGTAATTTTAATCCCTAAGGTTGTCACAACTGTAACGAAATCCCCGGTCTGGTTTGCATTTAAATGTTATAGCCAACGGGCTGAACTGAATATTTCAATTCTGTTTAATCCCGAAATTGTGAGGGAACAATTACATTTCTATTCTAATTTAATTAAACACTTCATATCGACGCCCATTTCAAAACACTTACGTCCATATAAACTCGGGTTTGTTGCTATTTCGTTGAAGACCTATCCAAATACTCTCGGTGATGTCCAGTTCCCTTAGATAAGCTCTTATGGCATCGTATTGGGACGTAGAATCAACTGTGAAAATAAAAATCGAGTTAAATAAAATAAAAAAATTTTTAAAGTGGCTATTTTCATGTGGGGAATCGAATTTGGTGCTACGAGAAAAGGGCTCTCAACGTCGGCGTCGTCGGCCGTAACCGTGCTTTATTAACTTAATTTCACCCTGTTAAGGGTTCGCTTTTAGCTAAAATTCGAGCTAGCGTTTTGCTATATAGCAAGGCCGTAAATAGAGGTTCTAATTTCGGGGTGCCATAGCTTGAGCATTACGTTATTGCGGGTTTAATTTTACGCGGGGACCTTAAGAAATTGCTTTTCCCCGTCTCGGCGACCGTTGTTATTCCGAAATTTCGTTCCATCCAAATTGTATTGTTGCATTATATCGTTAATTTGCATGAGAACATTTTAAATTAAAAGTCTAATAGTTAATTTGCAATTTCAATTTAAAAGTTAGGTTTAAAAATAATTGGAAAAAAGTTATAAGTAGGGAAAATTGAACCGCCATCCGATAATGAAGAGCTGACGTCGGCTATGTGACGTTCCATCTATTTCGTACACTCATTATAGACGTTTAGGCAGCTAATTGACTTTACCATTTGATCAGCGAGGTGGAATGACTCGATAACAGCCTGTGTTGGCTTTATTTGATGGAATATGACCTAGTTTTTGTTATACATCGATGACTTCATCGAAATTATTAATCGAATTATTACACTTGATGCTTTGATATTATTTCAATTCGTTTTTTAACAATTTAATATTGATTTTGTGCATGAAATGAAGCTTTTGTGAGTCTATTGATGGAAAAAATTTAGTTAAGGTTATGAATTTATATCGACGAAACCAATTCACAGAAACCATTTAAATTTTCAAGAAAAAAAGAGATTGATTCTTGTTTTATAACATCAAAAAGTTTCATTCTATAAATATAAAAATTTTATTCAAGCAACTTTCATTTAAGTTAACAATACGAAATAATCACTACGACCGTATTTTGAAGAGTTGGGAAGTGATTAATATCTTAAATTAAAGCTTAAAGACTCTCTTTTTGAATAAGGTGTAAAAATAAAGGGGTACGATTAAAAAAATTACTAGGAAAAAAATTTTATATGAAAACCTGCTAATTGGGGTTATGCCAAAAAAGTAAAAATTTCAAAAAATCACTCCGGCCTTATTTTGAGGAATTAGGAAGTGATTAATATCTCAAATTAAAGCTTAAAGACTCTATTTTTGAATAAGATATAAAAATATAGGGGTACGATCAAAAAAATTTCTAGGAAAAAAATCTTATATGAAAACCTGCTAATTGGGGTTATGTCAGGAAAAGTAAAAATTTCAAAAAATCACTCCAACCTTATTTTGAGGAATTAGGAAGTGATTAATATTTTAAATTAAAGCTTAAAGACTCTATTTTTGAATAAGGTGTAAAAATATAAGGGTACGATCAAAAAAATTTCTAGAAAAAAAAATCTTATATGAAAACCTGTTAATTAGGGTTATGCCAAAAAAGTAAAAATTTCAAAAAATCACTCCAACCTTATTTTGAGGAATTAGAAGGTGATTAACATCTTAAATTAATGCTTAAAGACTCTATTTTTGAATAAAGAGTAAAAATATAGGGGTACGATCAAAAAAATTTCTAGGAAAAAAATCTTATATGAAAACCTGCTAATTGGGGTTATGTCAGGAAAGTAAAAATTTCAAAAAATCAGTCCAACCTTATTTTAAGGAGTTGGTAAGTGATTAATATCTTAAATTAAAGCTTAAAGACTCTATTTTTGAGTAAGATGTAAAAATAAAGAGGTAGCAACGAAAAAAATCGAGGAAAAGAATCTTATATGAAAACCTGTTAATTGGGGTTATGCCAAAATAGTAAAAATTTCAAAAAATCACTCCGGCCTTATTTTGAGGAATTAGAAAGTGATGAATATCTTAAATTAAAGCTTAAAGGCTCTATTTTTGAATAGGGTGGAAAAATATAGGGGTATGATCAAAAAAATTTCTAGGAAAAAAATCGTATATGAAAACGTGCTAATTGGGGTTATGTCAGGAAAAGTAAAAATTTCAAAAAATCACTCCAACCTTATTTTAAGGAGTTGGTAAGTGATTAATATCTTAAATTAAAGCTTAAAGACTCTATTTTTGAGTAAGATGTAAAAATAAAGGGGTACCAACGAAAAAAAATCGAGGAAAAGAATCTTATATGAAAACCTGTTAATTGGGGTTATGCCAAAAAAGTAAAAATTTCAAAAAATCACTCCGGCCTTATTTTTAGAAATTAGGAAGTGATTAATATCTTAAATTAAAGCTTAAAGACTATATTTTTGAATAAGGTGTAAAAATATAGGGGTAAGATTAAAAAAATTTCTAGAAAAAAAATCTTATATAAAAGCCTGTTAATTGGGGTTATGTCAAAAAACTAAAAATTTCAAAAAATCACTCCGACCTTATTTTGAGGAATTAGAAAGTGATTAATATCTTAAATTAAAGCTTAAAGACTCTATTTTTGAGTAAGATGTAAAAATAAAGGGGTACCAACGAGAAAAAATCGAGGAATACAATCTTATATGAAAATCTGCTAATTGGGGTTATGGCAAAAAAGTAAAAATTTCAAAGAATCACTCCAACCTTATTTTAATTAGTTGCTAAGTGATTAATATCTTAAATTAAAGCTTAAAGGCTCTATTTTTGAGTAAGATCTAAAAATAAAGTGGTACCAATGAAAAAAAATCGAGGAAAAGAATCTTATATGAAAACCTGTCAATTGGGGTTATGGCAAAAAAGTAAAAATTTCAAAAAATCACTCCGGCCTTATTTTGAGGAATTAGGAAGTGATTAATATCTTAAATTAAAGCTTAAAGACTCTATTTTTGAATAAAATGTAAAAATATAGAGGTACGATCAAAAAAAATTCTAGGAAAAAAATCTTATATGAAAACCTGCTAATTGGGGTTATGTCAGGAAAAGTAAAAAATTTCAAAAAATCACTCCAACCTTATTTTAATTAGTTGGTAAGTGATTAATATCTTAAATTAAAGCTAAAGACTCTATTTTTGAGTAAGGTATAAAAATGAAGAGGTTACAACTAAAAAAATTCTAGCAAAAAGATATCATTTGAAAACATAGTAATTGCAGTTATGTCAAAAAAATTTAAAAAATTACTACGACTTTACATCCCTCCATATTTCACTCCGTTAGTGTCCAAAATATAAATACCTTTCTTTTGTATCAGAAACATGAAGGATTTTTTCCCCAACAATATAAACGACAAAACTTTTTTTACCTACAAAACTAAGAGGTTTTCGATTTAACGAATTTCCACGATTTAGGGTTTCGTTTAAGTTCGTCTCATTTGAACGCGTTTCATTACGAGGTCTCGCCGGAAAGTTCGTCAATTTCCGGTCCGTTTTCTGTCGAGGTTGTTTCACGTTTTAATTTCACTCGGGGGGAAAAAGAGAAACCAAACGAATTGCGATTTATTACGGTTTTTTCGTCTCGTCGAGAGAGGGATTAATGCCCTCTGATTTCCGCGAAAGGATCTCGCGTTTTATTAAATTTCAATCCAATTTGGTGTCTGTGAAAGGGGCACGATTCGAAACGTTCTAATCCGGGATTATCTTGGTCTCTCTTCAACTTTGAATTGAAGGAATACTAAAAAAAAAATCAAGTTAAAAAGTTACAGGATAAATTTTTTCAAATGTAAAATTATTTTCAATTTGCGCGAACAAGGTCCCGAAAACTATTTCAATTAACTGAAAACCCTTGAAACAATACCATCGCTTCGTTTACTAAAGTAGACCGAAACTAAATTCAAGTGTTCCAAATAGCTTTTCGACCTTTAACCGTTGGTTTAACTGAAACACAAATGGTCCATTTATTTATAAAAATACATATTCATATTTTAAAATAACACGTGAGGTGCCAAAACAATGTGCAGCAATCCCATTTTGGAAGATGATCATGTCTCGTGTCTCTGGAACAGTGGTAATCCTTAATGCATCCCGACGGCGACGTCCCGGCGCCTTTACACCAAGGACACATATAGGAGGATGAGGTGGGGTGCTTCTCTAGATGCAAATTTGCTCCCCCTCTCCCTCTTTGATGTGCTAAACAATGCCACCGTATAACTCGTTCCGGATCCGCAATCCCGGATGAGAATATCGCGACCCCTTTCGCAACAAGATATGGTAATTTGACGAGGACGTCAAACAAATTATCACTGAATAATGAAAATACATTTTTTAATAAAGAATTGAGTTTGTTTGCTAAAATTTCAGTTAAATTCGTTAATATTTTTGTGTGAATCAACCATAAAATCGTAACAGCATGCAAAATATTTGATCGTTTTAATTAAGTTGCATATGGTTCGATTTTAACGCAACGTTCTATTAACAAGACAATTAAATTTTAAATAACAACGTTTGCATTGATAATAAATATATTTTTAGTTTTTAAATATTTTATTTTGTTTCGTTTCGAATTTATTTGGATTCTGCTAATCCTAAATTAATTAGGATCGAAGGGGTTTATTTTGATATGATTTCACCTCAATTAACCGGGCTATAATTCGAACTCTAATTAATTAATGATTAATTTGAATAGATCCGGGAAATACTGAATTAATGTGTACATTGTTAAATGAACAGTACATTTAATTATCTTCAATATTGTCTAATAATTCTAATAAATATCATTATAAACAATTTTTTTTGAAATTCTCATATTGATTACAAATCTTGTTTCGGGGGAATCAGAAATTGTTGGAATTTGGTGTGTTTATGGTATTCACTCCCGTGTTGTACGCGAGTATTATTTTGTAATTGAAATGCACATTTGTGATCGGGAATGCTATTTCCAAACATCTGCATTATTCGCAGAATTCGAATTTTTGGACCACAAAGCGTGACGGGTGAGCTAAATAACTTGCTAAACAAAACCGGGGTTAAATCCTATGATCAATAAATAATTACAATCATTACAATAAATTATTGGTGTTCCGTTTGCAATGTCGGAGAAAT